GCACGTGGAATATTATACGGTCGAAGAAGTTCCGTTGTGTCGTATCGCGCGAGCGATGCACATCCCCTTGCGCATGCACCGGTCCGCCGTCCCTCTGTTTCTAACTTTCGCATTACACGCCCTTTGTCCGCGATTCGACAGTTTCGACAGTTCGCAATGGAACGTGAGAATGCGGCGAAGCGGCCAGGGAAGCTGCTTGCAAACGACATTAAAGTTCGATCTGACGGCCACATCTGGGGCCACCGAAATTTTTCCATCCCCCGGAGGCGTGTGTATGCACGCTAACACGCGTGCTGCGCGCCCCGGTGTCTCGGGTGCACGAGTGGCACCCGCTTCGATCACCGCGGTTTACCGACTAAACGTCGTAATCGATTGCAACGCCCTGAAAAAATATGGCACCTGGTCAGCAGAACGTATTTAGAAAAAGAATCCGACGAGCTGGGGAGGTGGATGAGTCTTTGGTTGATAAGAACGTTGAGGTCTGATAGGATGGTGGACCAGCGAATTATGGTACGATGGATTAAACTAAGATTCACGATGTTGGCAGCATGCGAACCGTTTCGCGATGAAAACGCGTGGCTCGTTTTCTGACCTGGGATTTCTATCTCTCACCCAACAAATATTTTAAAGACTACCACGAAATAAAATGTGATCCCTATAGTAAAGTTTGTATCGTTCAAGACATGCATCCAAAATGCTTAGGTTTGTATGAAACTTAGTAGATAGGTAGACCATTTGAAAATATTAGAGTTTTTTTGCGTCAATTCATATTCATATTCAAGGATTGAAAAAAACTATTTGAAAATGAATATGAAGATACCTATTTATATATAGAGACATAAAAAAAATTAATGGAGACAGAAGAACTGTTCAATGTGAAAAATGATCGGCTTTTGTAGACAGTCATATAGTGCAAATAAAAAAGGTACCGCGTCATAGGTGACGCCATCGTCTTTTCATACTCACCTGTTCATAGCTGGACATACGCATTCAGCATTCATCAATCATCTTCAAATATGTACATCCACCACCATATATCCATAATTAAATCTCAGTGTTAACGTCAATAATGCGTCTTATAAAACGTACCCATACAAAAATCTGAATGATAACATCAAAAACGCATCTCACCATTTAAGGCGCAATTTATAATAAATACACATCACCAACTTAAACATTAATCTTCAATCTCTGGTGCACATAGTGAACATCATCGGTGTGTACTCATAGAAACTACCCTTAGAGTTGTGACTAAAGTATCTTATTAATTAAACGTCCCCAGAACTAATTAACAGAAAACAAATTAATAAATTTTCTAAGGTAACAGATTATAAACAGATTAATAAATTTTCTATGGATTCCTAATTTTACGTTATTGAACAATACTTACAACCGCATAACGCGTTACTTATCCAGACAGACTCCAAGCTATACCTACACAGTTTCGTAATTTGCAAAGAACGACAGTTAGAAAATACGAGGGGAGAACATCGATTGCAGACGAGGGCTTATTCAGAACGTTGATTGTTTATTTTGAAAAGCAGAGAAAAGAGGAACAAAGGATAAAGTATAGCGCGGTTTGTCTCTTTGGCGAGCAAGAGCCTTTCGTTTCGTGGCAAATAAAGGTTCCCTCGGAATAGAGAATCTGTATTTGGAACTTTTAAAGGAAACGGTTCCAACGTTCTTAGATATTTGCTACTTGCCCAGAAAAGTCTTCAAATAACAGTTTGTTTCGCGGAGATTTGACAGTCGGTTGCGACAAAGAAACCATTTTCTTTCGATAAGAATAACGAAACCAAGAGAGAGACTACATAAATACCAGAAACACGTTTGGAGTATTTCAGAAAAATATTACCACCAAAATTAATGTAGTTTGAATCAAGAACGAGAAAATTATGGAAAACAGGGAAATTCTTTTTCTTGGAGAAACTTGGCGTTCTTTTTAATAATGTATATAAATACTTAGCACTATATAGTGAGTCTTTCCTGCAACGTTAATTTGTAAAATATACAGAAACAGGTTTATTGTACGGAATGGGACCAGTGATGTGGGATTAATTAAAAAATGTACTCCATTTTAAAAAATATAAGAAGGAAAGATTTAATATATATGTATATATATACTTACATGTGCGAACAGTGTATACAACGTTCCTGTTGAACATTAACATAGAGTGTGAGTAGAATATAAACGTAGGTTTATGATTACATCGTGTGTACAATGAGAACAAAAATTACGTAAGAAGGTGGACGCAAACAGTTTGCCTTTAAAAGCTGACTCGGTATTGAATTACATAAAAAGTAAAAAGGATACAACTAATACCCATTGGCTCTAACAAAAACATGAGAACGTCGTATTAGGCGAATATACAGAACAAATGGCAATCCAAAGAGGGTGTTATTAAAGAAAATTAATCAAAGAAAAAAAAGAAGTAGAAAATGTTTGATCGTAAAAAATGATAAAAATCATATCGAATTTGATCTTGTCTCGAGCTCAATCATAACCTTATAGCCTACGGAAAACTTATTCGCTAAAAACAATGTTATCGATAATGATGCGATCCTTCCTGTACGATAAACTAAATATTAGCTGCAGTGATTTCATTCACATACATCGTTATCATACGTAACTCGTAACTTGTCTTTCGCGTATACTTCTATCGCAGCGTCGACATAGCTTACGTCAAATCAAGAACAAAGGACTCTAAAAGAACCAAAACTCTGCCTGTAGGGACACGAATCGATGGAATTAAATTGAAAACGCGTAATGTAAAGTTCTTACCAGGATTATGATGTACATACCAGCGTCGTATGTGCGTGCAGTCTACCCGAATTAACAAAAATACGTATCAAAAATATGAGAAGCTATACAAATTGGCATTTCGCGTTTTGCCGGCAGTCGTTTGCCACGAAATTTGTTCTCTTAATTACACTTAGAGCCCTTCGATCTCAGCTCTGTAATTATTACAAAGCACACGCTCGTAATTGTTGTGCTGTACGACGACGAACGATTTTCACGTTTTGGTGCGCAAATTGACCAAGCACGAAGAATATGTAAAAGGTACGTTCGAAAGAGTATTCAATGTTTGAACGATAACCATGAAACGCAACGCACGTGTTTTCGTATTCGCAGGATTTATTGGCGATCCCGAGAATATAATTCGTACGAAAATTCACGGAAGATTAGCAATGTTAAAGGTATTACGTTTCTGGTAAATTATTAATAGAAAAAAAAATGGACAAAGTGTGCGAGCGATGCGATAAATATTTGACGATGTGCAACTTGCTATTAATTTCATTCCCTGATCGATACGGAAGCATTAGCAGAACGATAGCGCTTCTCTTTAAAAAGTTATAAAGTATGTTACAATGAGCTGATGGACGATTTCCCGTTCCAAGGAGCATTCGAAATTAATTATAAATAAAGTAGATAAAATAGTTACTCAGTTAGATGGCAGGCACGTGCATTACTCCTGAATTATTGTCCTGGACCTGTTTTAGTGTCTCGATGAAATCAGATTAAATGTAAAAATAAATTTCTTTTATTAATTTTTCAATTTTAAGTTTCAAGATTAATTTTATTTTAGTCCTCCATGAAATAATAATGCCCCAATGTCGTCGAATATTATTTCCATTTACTCTTAATTTTTAAAAGTGATCGTAAACGTTGTTTTATATATCGAATTGGTACCGATAGTCAAATAACTGCCGCACCAGCCTACTTTGTCAAAGTTTTATCCACTTTCCATATCTAAAATTCAATTTGTCCCAGCGGGCCGTGATTTTGTACGAATTGTATTCTCTCCAGTTATTAATAAGCACAGGCAGTTCGATGAACACTCAAAAATTGTCCGACCTAAAATGGCTCGCATAAAATACCCAAAACGTTTATTTCCATCGGAATAAAAATGATGCTCGGTACAATGTAACACGTTACTCGATATCGTTGATCAGCTAAACCTTGTACAATGGAGTTTACACGTTATAAATGTTAGAATCTTTCGTTTAACGAGTGCATCCGCTGCCATTCTATATATTAGACTTACGACAAAGGAGTAGACTCGATTTCACGGTTGCCTCAACGATTAACGAACATGCTCTATGGCTTAGGCTTATATCAGAATTTTTATACTTACTTGTACCCAGGATCGAATTAATCCATGGACTTCAGGGATTACAGGTCAAACCCAGATAAAACAAAATTCATCAGACTTCTCAATTCTGAAATAATCATAATCCTAAAATTCGTATTCTTTTCTCTCATACGATTTTACTCAGAAATAATTCAAACTTTTTAAACCATATTTGAAATTAAATGTTAATGATATTTTTTAAGGATGGTTTGAATGGAACAGAAATGTTAATAAACTATATCGAAGACATTGTGGCAAAAGAACGTATTTACACAGTCTTGGAGTCCTAGGGAATAAAGGGAACGTTTCATAGATTAAAGAAGTATAGCAGAGAATTCATTTTTATAATATTGTCTTCTCCTTTTAAACACCACTTGATGAAATAACGATTGTAACTCTGTAAAAACTATCCTATATTAATACTAATTAATATTATATTAGCAAAATACACTGAGCATAAAAATTGTCCATACATTCTTTAATCACGATGCCCTCAATATATCCGTTATGAAGCAAATTCTGGTCTTTATTTAGATTTATGCTTTTCTGTTCATTCATTTTGAAAATATTATTTGGGGACTCGCGATCCCTGTAGCCTCAAATGCTCACGAAGTTTGAATTCGACCCTGATTGTATCTAACGTATGAGAAACATTACGTGCGACCTGAGATTTGTAATTAATATAAGTCAAGCCATAGAAAAGCAATTATTTTCTTCATAAGTAGAAAATTAGTCGTCACTTTGTATTTGATTATAAAAGTGTTTTTATCAAGCTGATCTCCGCATGTGTCTATAAAAGTGGCGATTATAACTAATAAAGACAAGAAGATTTTGTATAATTTTGTAAATTCACAGTCATTCAAATAGTTTACACGTAAAATAACGTGAACTTTGATCGGCATTGTGTGCACTTAGAAATTTGTATGAAATTGTTCCTCAGTAATTTCATACTTACTTCGGTTAAAAATTCAAATTTCTCAACGATTGTAGCACAAATAGAAATATAAAGTGAATGCATGAAAAGAGTGACAGTCTCCACAATGGCACCGCTTATACGTCTGTGAGTCCTCTACTATATAGATAACAGAGGACAAAGTCAAATACACTCTTCTCGTGCGTCGACGATACATTCCTTAAAACTCAAAGTTCAAAGCTTTTAACATTACATGTCTTGTAAACTATTCAGTATCTAACAGGGGCATATAATAATTATTAATAAGAAATCACCTTATCCTTATTTTTCTTAAAAACCACTTTCACAATAAACTCAACAGTGAACAGTATCTTTCCTGTGAGATATTCCACGCAATATTCATAACGGCTTGATAAAAATACGAGAAAAGGTCACCTCGATAAAAATACTTTTATTAAATTCTGTGAAGTGACCGAACTAAACAACGTGTCTTATATTTTACTCGCAACCTGCCATTCGAGTCTACCAGTACAGACGACTGGAGCGCGAAAACAGTCTCTTACAAAGTAGAGGGAGCGTATCTAGTGAATCTCAAAAGAGTAACTATGGTAATTTCTTCAATTTCTCGTGGTGAGATGCGGTCGTGGCACGCAAGTATGCATTCGCCCTAGAAAGAAAGAAAGAAAGAAAGTACAATGAAAATCCTTACAACCTTGGAGCAACAATCAGTGCAAGTTGTTTTTTTTTTGTTTATGTACAAACAGTCTCCACCGCGATCGAGTTTCGTCGTCGCGGTTAGTTTTGGTTCGCGCGGTCTCAAAATTGGTGTATCTTTTGCATCCTGCGCGCCCCGACCGTCCACTGATTTTCATTATCCTGCACCGGTGTGTCCTTTGCGATACCGCCGTGGCGCGTAAACTCGCATCTGTATTTTTCAGTCCTGTAAACGTTCACTTCGTCGCGATAGAACGTGTTGACCTTCGTGCGTGAAACAATCGTCTGTTTCGGGATTATTCGTTCTATCAAACATCCTATCAACAGTCGCCCCAGACTGTCACAGTTTTTGCCCTGTCCACTGACGCAAGGTAGCTGTCGTACGAGTGCCAAGAAACCGCTGTCACCACGGCCCTGTAAGAAACAGTGTGACAAATTAATTGGATTGCCCGATTCAGCGTTATTGATGTCGAATAGAGCGTCCTGTAAATCGACTCGTGAAAAGTATTCGAACGCTTGGGGAGTACGGTCGATAATGAGGAGGAGTGTGAGGTCGTTGGCATGAATCATTGCGTACCTTCGCTTGCTACGAATTTTTGACATGATTTGTAATGACCGTACAAACCGCGAGATGTACATTGTTTCTTTAGGTTTCTGAGGTGTTGGATTATTTAGGACACAAGCAGTTGGCGTATCAAAATTCAAGAATTTTGTATCAAGATTTTAAGTACATATTTTAATTCAAAGCGAAATTTCATTAAATGCGAGAATGATTTATTGAAATTTTGATTTTTACTAAAATTGTCGCAGCTATCGTTTTTCCTTAATAAAATAGCCTTGAAAAAACGTTCCTGGATATTTGTTATATTCTAGCCATTGTTAAATATATCTTTCAGTTTCATAAAATTGTATCTGTATTTTAATTTGCATTTTTTAAGGTGGATAGGTAAGTGCAAGCGCGTGCGTGAAGTAGAATAAGACTTCATCGAGGGTATCTGTCCACTACTGCCTGATTCTACTTGTGCCCATGTTTGGAGACATAAACTGTGATATTGTATTGTCTGTTTTATCTCATTCTAACTTCTACCTATTTAGAATACAGTGAAATTAATGAAAAACAGATTAAACTATCAACAAACATCGCCGCAAGTAGAATTACCCAGTACTAAACAGACATACTAGCCAGACCGTTTTAAACGGTGCGCGTACTCGATGTGTGTATATTTTAATATTAATATTGTACAAAACAAAGCCTCGTACGCAAAAATGTTTATTCTAAATATTCGACTAATTTTACCACGAAGAATTACAACAATTTTTTTTATGTCTTCGTTGGGCGTTGTCCTAAATATGTAGTAGTACATATTCAACCATTAAATTATTGTTGTAATTGCAAAGTGTCGTAATAATTGTAACATTATTCATTTAATCATTTTTAATTATTAATGCTACGCATTGAATGTTTAATATTAAAAAATGTTGTAAATGTACGAAAGGTTACCTTTATCTGCAATATTATACATATTGTTGTTGGTAAAATTTAAATTTACTGTCACTGAATGCTTGAATAATGTGGTATCACTCGTTCGATCAATGAAGTAATCATATTAATAATATTATTGTAGTGTGTAATTTAGGAAAGTAAACATCCTATTTCATGAAACGTTTGAAGCGCTGATTGCATGCAGAGATTAGCAATTATTCGAGCCTATGACTAATTGGGAACATTTATGGATAAGCCGAAGTCAATAGTTACTACATCTCATACGTAAATAAATTAACATAATATTACTAACATAAAAAGCAGATCGAAAATCAAAGGTTGCTAATATTCTCATAATATTGAAATATACGCCAAACATAATAATGATTCATACTCATTGGAATGTTTTAAATTCATTAAAATCATTCAGCACAGATAATATTACATGTCATGTATATGATCAAAGCACAATGCATATTTTCATTATTATCGATGACGCCAACAAAGCTTCCAGGAGCAAATTATGTTTAGGAAATAATTAATGGTTACGTTTTAGAGTTATTTATCGATAATCGGTTAAAAAATTACTACATTCTAATATAAAATTAATTAACAACTCTATCTTGTACAATATTTATAGACAAAATTAGGGCACGAATCGAAGGAATTGAAATAAATTTTTCACAGTCATTAAAAAAAAAAAAAAAAACAAATTATACAAATCTGTAATTCTATGGAGATATAAACTCTTTTTCGAAAATGTTTAAAATTTGTACATATAATATCGTACGTAAGAATCGCTATAACTGTCAACTAATCGTTTCTAAAAAATCTTTTACGGGTCGTCTAAGTTCTCCAACCAGGATTTTCCCGCAGACCCAAGGTTAGAGGATTTGAGAAACCTATTAAGTTGTAAAATGACGTGGTTGGCGCGGTTTATCGAATATTGAAATCTCCCTGTCCACCTTGCTGCACGAGGCATCCAGGTAGCCTATGCAGAAGCGATACATGGTCACCGTAATTCAGGGAATCCGGCTCAAGTTTCCTGGGATCCACTGGGGTTCCCTTACACACATATTTGAACCCGAGTTTACGATAAGTCAATCGTCACTGAGAGTTAGAAGGAGATTCCGAAGACAGCGAATTCTCCCTGGAATTCGCAAATCGCTTTAGGTGGAGTATTTAAGACGGATCACTCGAATAACTAGTGTATATTTATGTTTAGAAAAAAAAAATGTTTAAGGCGAACACATACTCGAACCCGAGTTTACGATACGCCAATCTTCATTGAGAGTTAGAAAGAGATTCCAAAGACAGCGAGGTCTCCCTGGAATTCGTAAATCGCTTTGGATGGAGCATTTAAGACGGATCACTCGAATAACTAGTTTATTTTTATGTTTAGAAAAACAAAAATATTTAGGACGGAAGTTATTTAATTTTATAGGCAACAAGCTGCGGTGTCAGTTTTAGAGTTCCAGGCAGAAGATTCATGAACATTTCAAGGCTATTAATTTTGTTTTAAATTAGATAATAATATCTTCTAATTTACCTCCTAATAGAGGCTTGAAGATTGAGTAAAATGGCCTACAGTTCAAGATCATTCAAAGTTATTGATATTATTGGACAGATAAACAGAAGCAAAGTGCTCGATTAATTTGTCAAGTTTCATTCCCTCAATATTTTGTTAAGATTCACTCTCTCACATTCTCTTTCCTACGTCAATCTGCGTGGAAATTTAACGCAAACCTTAGTTTAAAACAATTGCAGTAAAGTGACGAAGATCGCGATGCCCTAAAAGCCCAGCCAATCGTCATTAAAGCAACCTGAAAAATCTCGTTCAATCTCGTTACACGGAGTGACCTAGGAACAAACAGAAAGAGGATCAACGAGAGAGAAGGATTTAGCCTCGAGCTACGGGAACTTGGGGTGAATTGTGGACAGAGATTGTGTTTTCAGATCCTAATTGGCCAGTCAAATCGCCGTGGCCACCGCTTAACTGTCGCAGAAGACCACGGGCTTCCTATGATTACGCGGTGTGTATCGGTGGGCAAACTACGGTGGCAGTCGGTTGGAAAGCGACACGGTGCTCCTTCTCGAGACGTACTCGAGGTGGTACGAATTTTGAAACCGTTGTCTCAGCCGGTGAACACGGTAGCTGATGCCACTTAACGTAAAAGAAAGAAAGGGGAAAGGTACGCCCGCCTATTTCATTGTTCCTCTACTTTTTGTTAGTCCTCTGTCCACTTACGTTGTCCCCCACCTAGCCGTCTCGCTTAATTTACGACTTCGCTATAACCTCTGCGCGCATTATACACGCTCGCTCGTCGAGGATTCGCGTTCTGAGACGACACGCAAGTGTGTCCGATGTGGTTGATTTGAATTGGCCACGGCATCCTTTGCGGTCGGTCATACCGTTTTCTCGTTTCTATCGCGTCTACTTCGTGATGAGCAGCTAACACGTGTTTCAGAGTTGTCGTGGCTCTGTTTGGCCGCGACAGTGTGAAACATAATGCTACAAAGGAACGGCGTTCTTAATTACCGCGGTTCGATAATATTAATATCGCGTTCGTGTTCGTGTCCTCCCCGTTGGAACGCGAGAATCTGAGAAAAGGTTAATTTAATGGCTCGACTTGTACGATCAGGTTTGCTTGACGCGGGTCGCGATGCCCAGGGAACAAGAAAACGACAGGTGGAGGGCAAGAAGTTAATTAATCGGAAATGCTGGCTCAGTCCCTTTTCCTGCCATAATTTTTTCTGAATGGTATCGCGTAACACCAGGTAGCTAGGCTACAGGTCTCGTCGCTCACCCTTGATTCTCACCATTCACTTCACGAGTCCCTCGGGAATCTTATTAAACTTTTTGAGCTGTACTAAGAACACTCGTGGCTTCTAGGGTGTTTTGTCTCTAAGAGTGTCTGATGATTTCTACTCGTTTACCGGCAAATTTATTAGGTGCAGAAATTAATTTTGAAACTTTACATTCAGTCGTTTGTTATTGCAATTTAAGTAAAAATATTTACTCGTTACTTTGTATCGAAGTTTTCCTCATTCTTGTTCTTCTAACAGATTACAAATGTACAAATTAATTATACTAATAGATACTTTAATATTTAAAGTATGAACCTTCCTAGTAATGAATAACACAGATTGCTTTGAAATTTGGTTCTTAGAAAGAAAGTTTTTCTTTTTAAATAAATGGTAAGTTTATCTTTGAATAAAATTTCCGCACCTAATAATAGAGAGAAACTGGGTGGCATTGTTACCTGATATGACTTTGTGGAAACATTCTTAAAAAGGGTTTAAATATCGTCATTTTGATATCTTTTGACAGGGGAAAAACAGTAACGAGTTTTAGTGGTAGCAGGCAGGAGACTAATGGAAGGATCAAGTGGTTGGGTAAGTTTAACAACACTCTCCTTTTTGCTCGTGTTTTCTCGAATCAATATTATTAAACAGGCGAATAATGGATGGTGAGAAATTACGAGCCTAAGTAGCTTACTTTCTGACACCTGTATATGGCAATATGTTCAGCTCCTGCCTGTCGTTTTCTGTATTTATGTGATATTATAAAACTTAGGTGACCTAGAATTGACTTATTAAATTAATCACACAAACTCAGGACACCATTAAGATAACTCCAAGTTAACAAATAAATTACATTTAATTTCTTATGTCTGAATCGAAGAAACGTATGATAACGCTGGCTTCGTATTTCTCGTTTAATATGTTACACAATTATTCATCGCGGAGGACAGAAATTACAATTGAAAATGTTATAACAAACAGGAAGCCTGCAGAGACTAGAATCATCTCTTACGATAAACTTCAAACAACCCGTGAAAAGGAAGAACGGTGTTAAACCTTGCAACACGGTTTCTTGAAAGTAGGTTTTTTTTACTCTGGTAGCCTTACTTTATTCCAACTCGTACAT